CCCCATCCATCCATTCATTGATCAATACATCCATTCATTATTCTAGCAATCTTTCTCTGTTTCCTTCTAACTTTTGTTAAAACTATTTCAGCTTGAGAGAAGAACTTTCCYAAAGTCATGATGAACAAACCAGACTATTGGAACAACTTGAATCAATACATCAAGACCACACAAGGTATAGGCCGATCTTTATTTATAAGTTTTTTCTCATTAGCATAAAAAAATTTCAAGCTACAAGCAAACTGACTCCAACTCCAAGTTGCCACACAACCATACATTTCTTTGCAAATCATACAACTTTCAAAAACATTTTACTCCCAAAATATTGAACATATACTCTATAAGTTTTCAGTAGTTACTAAATAGGACATTCTCTTTTGATTTCTGGAGTCGGTTTGCTTGTAGCTTGCAATTTGTTTTATGCTAATGAGGAAAAAACGTAAACAAAGATCGGCCTATAGGCAAGATCTTTTGTGGGGGTCTGTTAGTATATACCAGGTACCCTAGTTGTCAGAGGTCCTCTTGCTCCAATGTCCCAGGAGGAGCAGGCGTCTTTGTTCCTTAGTCTGTCAGTATACACTCAATTGAAGAATTGTTGTCAGGTTCAGAAACATAGAACATAAAAGCTGAGACCGAAATGGCACATGGGAAATGACATAATTATATTATAATTTATTCATTTGCGCCATCCATGCAGTCGGTTTAAAATGCCAAACGCGTATTAAAAACAGTGGATGATGCCACGGGTTGCCGGTCACGGCATGCATCTAATTAACGTACTTCCCATGTGCCATTTCGGTCTCAGCTTCAATGTTCTATGTTTCTGAACCCAACAACGATTCTTAAATTGAGTGTATACCAGGCACCCTTAGCTGCCAGAGGTCCTCTTGCTCCAATGTCCCAGGAGGAGCAGGCATCTATGTTCCTCAGTCTGTCAGTATATACCAGGCACCTTAGTTGCCAGAGGTCCTCTTGCTCCTGTGTCTTAGGAGGGGTATAAACAAGGTGCATATTTTATTACTTTGTTGTAGAAAGAAAAGTCAGAGTATCACCGAGTTGCAAGAAAACCTCAAGCAAATCAGGAGGAAGATCGTGAGGTAATATCAACTGGACTGAATTACACTACAACTGCTTCTTGATCAAATGGAATTCATCCAGCTTTTGTTCCTCGTGCATGCTAATGTTGAAGTTGAATACTGAAGGCTGCATACTATATAGTGTATTCCAAGACCGAAGTGCATTGTGGGTCTCGTTAATTTGAAATAAAAAGTAAATATACAGCAATTAACTCTCTACATGTAGTTAGTATATTGTTTCAGATGGAATACACTAAAAATATAATAAATAATTATTATTAATTATACTTTAGACAATGCCCTTTGGTCTTGGAATGCACTATTCAGTATGCAGTATTCAGTATTCAACCTTTATGAAATAGCTGTATTTACATTTTATTCAAAACAGTTTTCTGTTTTAGATACTCTAATCAAATACACAAGGTACTGAGAAAACAAGAGAGAAGCGTAGGGAACCACGACACAAACAGTGTGGTTTCCAGCTTCTCAAGTGTTGTCTCAGTATTAGAGTGTGATATACGGAAAACCGTTTTATATTTCTCTTAAAACAAGAAGCGTAGAAATTAATGAAAAATATTTTTAAATTTTTTCCTATGAACGTTCAAATCAGAGCGCGTTTGATACTCTTGTCAAACCTGTTTTTTTACCAATCAGAGCGCACGTTATATCTAAATAGGGAATGCGCACGAGCACGAATCTCTAGCACAAAGCATGATGGGAAACCGAGTATTATACAAATTAGAACAAAGAAATCAATAGAATTATCACACAAAAAATTACTCTTATTTTCGTCTGTTGAAATACGTACAGTTTCATAGTAAATGTCGAAGGAAAAATTGTCAGAGGAATTTTTAGAGAAGCTGAAAAAACCGTAAGTACTCGGTTTACCATCATCCAATGTGCTCGTGCACATTGGATGTTATGTAGTCACCTTTAGTTTAAAAGCTGGTCTTATTCATAGCCTGGAGGAAGAGAAGTGTGATCTGATGTCAAACTTACAAGAGCTTCAACAAGACAGAGACTCGTGGAGTAAAGAAAAGAAAGAATTAATGCTGTCACTTGCTGAACTCAACGCAGAAAATAGCAAGCTGAGAGATCAAATTAAAGAGTCAAGCAATCAGGTATTAAATGACTTTGCAATATTCCCAGGAGTGGATAAGAAGGAGGGACAAACAAGGAAGGATCGAGGGGGTGAATTGGGTTTTTTTTTTCATTTTATTAACTTTGCCTAGAATAAGCGTACCAAATTAACGGCTACAAAAAAGATTATGATTATGATTTTTATATGGCGGTCTTTTCTATATGGATATGTTCAAAGGCGCTTTACAATGAGTTATGAATGAGA